TATATATATTAGTGTGTATATATATATATATATATATATATGTATATATATTGTTGTGTGTGTGTATGTATGTATGTATTATATATGTATGTATCTGTATATATATATATATATATATATATAATTATTCTTATGTATGTATCAGCAGCGAACGCGCATTCAATCTGTTTTACCGGATCTTGAATCACAAGAATAAGCTTCGACATGTCGATGACGTATTTCAATTGTGTGAGCATTGCGTACTGTCTGCTTATAGCGCTTGCATATCGTAAAATGCCTGACTCAAGCTCCTTTTAACCCTGTTTATCAACTATCCACATTAGCTTGATGATAGTATCGGCCATACGCATACCTGCGTAGAACACAAAACAGCATTGCTTGCATTACGGAAGACACTCGACCCAAAGAAAAGGAAAGTTGCCGAAGGTGCCGCTACAACAGTAAGTTTTTCGCAAGTTGATATTCGCGTGGTGCGCCTGGACGCACAATTTTAATCCTTTGTGCCTCGTCTATCGATACTGCTTTCTGCTTTTTCTCGCCTACATGTCCCGTCTCTACTGGTTCAGGTTGTGGTTTGTGTAGCCCCTTTCAATTCGTCGTTGTTATCTTAGCCATCATCAGCAATTTCATGATTTCGTGCACGACTCAGAACTTATTGCGGTGATGGTTGTGTGTCTCCTCGTCTATCCAATCCTTGCAACGGATAGAAAAGTAACCGGATAATTGTACTTGTATTCAGGTGGATTTGAGCAATGTGTCACACTCGTCACTCAAGCGATACAAGAAGCACTACGATATTGATGTGCCCGCGGGATCGTCGAAGCAAGAATACAGTGCGGCCGTGGCGCAACACTTCCCAACAATACAAGTCAATGAGGCCAAAGATTTGTTGGCATTTATCACTCATGTCGAGAATATTAAGAAACGCGCTTTGGACAGTTCGGGTGGTCTCTAAACTTTTAAATATGCAATTGGAGATATGTAAATTAAAATCAGTTCCAATAATTTACCCTTTCAATATTTGGCAGAGCCCATAGTACCTATCATGAAGGAGCTCGGTCAGAACCCAGAACTAATCATCATACTGTTCCCAAAGTGTACGACCCATATTTTCAACACTGATACTGCTAGGTTTGTTGTCGAGAAACGTTACATAGAACATGGACGGTGATTGTTTGCAGTCTTCGAAGAATAGTATATAATCGATCCTGCAGCAGGAAGTATGTCTGTAGCAGAATGAACAATATTGAACAGCGAGTCGCGTGCTTGGCAGAAGTGCTCAGTTATCTTTTTCACACTCATAAACATTCGTCGCACACCAACATTAACGTATTTATGTATTTAATTTCGTTGATCTCGTGCAAATTTGAATGCGTTACTCCCTTCTGTGTCGAGCCTCCGATATTCATCGCAATAGCTTCGCTAGGAGTTGTAATGTGTGATGTATAAGCATGACCTTCCTCTAGCTGCGCGAGTATATCCATGATATGCATTGCCAATACAAAATTCTTGCCCGTGTTTGCTGTGATCTCCAATAAAACCCAAAAAAAAATCGCATCAATTCCCTGTCTTAATTTCGTGTTTCATGTATGTATAATGATATCGTACTGGCAGTCAGTATTAAGACAAAGCAAAGGATTCACACACTAAAAGACCGCTGAATCATTCTCTGCGTATACAGTCCTTCTATCTGTGGACATTCGCAGCTAATAGTCACCAGCTTAAAAAGTCAAAAGCCTCCCGTAAATGCTTTTCACTATTTATTCAATTCAATACAGGCATATTTTTAAGCCATCGCCTGTCAACTTCTGGTACGCTTTCGATTGTTGCAAATCGTGGACTACTGGTTCGTCATTTAAATATATCTAGTCTAGCCCCTGCAAACAATTCGTTGTCACCATTGTTGTGTGGTTAAGTGAGTTCAAAGAGGATAGCTGTGATTCCCCATCCGTACAACGGTCCCCCCCAGCGATATAGACCAACGATCAGAGCTCAATACCACGACAAAGCATTCCTACTGTACGATTTATATCCAGCACCAATATTTTGTACTGCGATATGTGTTCTAGTATTAAGCAATTATAGTAGTACAAGATTGTATACGTATGAATCTTTGACCGTAGTATTATTTACAATTAATCTATGTAATATGTGCATAATCGTACTGTCTTCACGTTGTGTTATATATTTATATATATATATATGTGTGTGTGTGTGTGTGTGTGTGTGTGTGTGTGTGTGTGTGTGTGTGTGTGTGTGTGTGTGTGTGTGTGTGTGTGTGTGTGTGTAGTTAGTTAGTTAGTTAGTTAGTTAGTTAGTTAGTTAGTTAGTTAGTTAGTTAGTTAGTTAGTTAGTTAGTTAGTTAGTTAGTTAGTTAGTTAGTT